GTGTGTGTGTGCGTGCGTGTGTCTGTCTGCGTGTGTAGTCACGTGTCTTGACAGAGGAGTCTCTGTCTCTAGTCTTTTATTGTGATGTCCTATAGCCTCACCCGTTTTCTCTCCATCTCGCTCTCTCTCTCTCTCTCTCTCTCTCTGTATCTCTGTGTCTGTGTCTGTCTGTGTCGCAGTTTTGAAGACGAAGCATGAACTGGAAAAGTCATGCTTCGTTTCACGTGTTTGGCAAGGTCCTGCCCAGGCGAAAGTACGATACTCACACGTTTTTGTATTGGCAAGCTTCTTGGCGAAAAACGACAGGAAAGTTCTCTCAGGAGACCTTTTCCGTAGCCTCCTGAAGGACACAATATGAAGCTTCACAAATGCGCGTGTCCTTCGCCGTTGTCTCTCTGTCTGAATCTCCATCTCTGTGTCTCTCTCTCTCTCTCTCTCTCTCTCTATCTATCTATCTACATATTTTTGGTCAAAACGGGCTTTCTAAATAGCTGTAGATAAGCAAAGAAGCGTGTGTCCGTCTGTCTAGATCCCTCTAGAGATCTATCGATCTATGTAGTTATCTATCTATGGCTCTAGGTCCAGGTATGTTATATGTATGTGTATATATATATAGACGTATGGATACATAAAGAAATATCGAAGTATACATACAGGAATCTATATACGTGTACCTATACATATACATGTACATATACATGCAAAGATGCGCTCATGCATATAGACAGAGAAACACATCTAGAAAAGCAGACAAGGACATCTGTGCAAGACCTTACTAGTGTCCATGCCTCCGTTGTTTTGGCTTGGAAGAAGATGTGAGCATTGAGACATGCGACAGACACTGTGTCAACATACATGCTTACAAAGTATGTGAGGGCATGTCAAGTGTAGACCTGAAGACTTTTTGTTGTCCTAAGACCGCTGGACCGGATTGCCGCACAGAGTGTTGGCGGCGCGAGGAATTCGCAGTGTCCGAAAGCATGCATCACGTGAGTTTCTGTGCCATGTTTGGGAGTAGGTTCTGATTCATGCATATGAAGAATGTCTGCCCAGGCTCAACTTGGCGTACCAGTTGTGAAAGGCTGTTCCTCGCTGGAACACTTTCCACCACTCCTCGACCCTAAAGAATGTGGTGTAACCATCCACATCGGCGCTTGCCTGTGCATGTACAGCGAGTCAGACGGAAATTAGGAGACACCACTTGGGAGAGGGGCCACATCAGTCGAAAGGCAGCCGGCAGCCTTGTAGATCTGGAAGACTCCCCGGTGCTTGCCATCGTGCGTCTTCAAGTAGCCGAGGGACGTTTCCGTCATCTTCTTCTTCGGGGAGGGAGTGAACGGAGAATGTTTCTCATCTCCAGCAGCATCGTCCATCGGCACAGCGGTGGAAGAGGAAGACTGCCAGGAGCCGAAGCGAGGCCGGAGCGGAACGCCTGCTGCCGCGAAGGGAGCACGGAGAGCATCCAGGACATCCTGTGGTAGAAGCACAGGCTGACCAGCATGCAGGACTACTCGTGTAATGACAGAACTGCAACCCGTCCTCCCACTGAGTCAGAGACAGGGACGGCCAGTTCTCCTTTACTGGCCGTCCCTCCAAGGCAGCGTGGTCCACGAGGCGGAGCTTAGCCTGGAAGCGGTCCTTCCACGCAGGAAGGGCATCCGCCGCTAGCCTGAGCGGCTGCATCTTCCAAGTCTAGACAGCACGTTGAATGAAGCAGCACGCAGTTTTCACCGAAGCAGCACGCAGGTGTCAACGAAGCAGCACGCAGTCATCCGAAGCAGCACGCAGTAGGCAGCCGAAACGGCACGCTGGAGGAAGCAGCACGCAGAACGAAGCAGCACGCTGCGCGAAGCAGCATGCACTCTTCAACGAAGCAGCACGCAGCAAGGAAGCAAGCAGCACGCAGGACGGAACGAAGCAGCACGCACTCATCGGCCGGGAAGCTGCACGACCTCCGTGAGGCGAAGCTCCAGCCAGTGCTTCGCCTGCTCCACCATTGGTCCTGCGTTGCGACAGGGAAGGCTGTTAAGCATTCTGCTTCGGGCGTTCATGCTGCCACAAGCGTCGCTGTGCGCGCACGTGCGCGCGTCGGGAAAGCTGAGGCAGCACGCATAACGAAGCAGCACGTTGACGAAGCAGCATGCACTAATGGAGTGAAATCCTCGAAGCACTCGAGAAATCGGAAACTATTCCGTTTTGCCACTAAGCATGCTGGCTCAGCTTTCGGCGTGCGCGCACGTGCGTGCACCAAGCGAGCTGCGCCGTCGAAGCAGCACGCA